TGAATTTTACAAAGACAGCCACACGTTCTTCTTTGAACGATGCATCACTGTCTTCGTTGATGCGAGCTAGTTCTTCCAAAATTTCTGTGGATATACCATCTTTAGTACAATCGTGTAAACGATCTAGGAAACATTAAGATTGGCTGATTTTTTTTCTTCTATGATTAGAATTTTTTTTCTTCCATATATATCTTATAATATAGAATTTCGCTTTTCTGCCGAGTCATGTCATTAATTTTAATTTATTTCTAGTGGAATAGGCTTACAGGGGAAACTTACTTAAAAAAAACGCATCAACAATAGTATCTCATGGGTGATGTGGAAATCTATTATCAAAATTACAAGACAGATACACACACACGCGCATTATATTCGATATAAAATTATATATGTGTGTGTGTGTATCTACAATATATTACACATAAATAATATAACATTATATTATTTACAAAAAAATGTATATATTGAAGAAGTAAAAATTTTAATAACGGATTGGCACACAGAAGCTCTACATACGTATTTCTTACTCAACAACGCTCCTGAGGCAGAGCGATCGGCGGCTCGGCCGCTGAGGCTCGAGTGAGAGTGGGGCAGCGGTGGGCGTCGCGCCTGAAATCAGCCCGAAATGTGACAAAAATTCCGAGGCCTGACGTATACTATAAACTCTACGAGACTTGAGACATTAAGAGGTAAGGCTACTGTAGAACCAAAAAAGGTCTATTTTTAATAATTTTTTACGGGAAAACAAAAACAGTAAAGAAAAATCCTTTTGAAGTACTTTATCCTACATACTTTGAAATATACAAAAATTTTTTTGCATTTTTTATTACAAAATGGCGGTGACAGAGCTCAGCAACGATCACCACTCGTTTCGGAAAATGCCTCACGGCCGGAACGAAATCTGCTCCAATTTTCGCTCTAGAACAAAAAACCAATTTTTAAAAAATTCTTTATGTCATTAGCTATTGAACTACGTACGGAAATTAAAAAATAATTTTTTTTATAAAAATGACACAAAGGACCCCGCACAAAACCTATGGAAAATGGTTTTCGGTCAAATTGGCTGAAATTTCACTATATTATAGTTTTCGCCATGCTAATAAAAAGTTATCATTGCACCAAGTCCCAAAGTCAATATTTCCCAAGATATAAAGAGTCAAAGTAGTGAAATATGGTCATCCGTAGTAGTAAAACGTATGTTGTAAGTGATACATTGATATTTATTCACGAAATAAATTAAAATCGATTTTTACATATATATATATGTAATAAATATGTAGTTCCGCGATATATATGTATATGTATATACAGGGTGGGGAAAAAGTATCGGACCGGTGAAATATCTCGAAAAATATAAGTTTTACAAAAAACTGTTTCAGATCTTAAAAAGGTCTATTGTATTTACTGATTTTAGCAGATTGATCTTGGGTGGCGTTGTCAAGGTCAAAAATTAGTTGTTTTCACGGCTACTCACAATCAGTTGTTTTTATAGCTACTCACAATCAGTTGTTTTCACAGCTATTCAAAATCAGTTGTTTTCAGGGCTACTCACAATCAGTTGTGAGTACAACTGATTGTGAGC